GTGTGTGTGTGTGTGTGTGTGTGTGTGTGTGTGTGTGTGTGTGTGTGTGTTCGCTTGTGTGTTTGTGTGTGCCTTCTTTCCTCTGTATGGGTGGGTGGGGCTGATGTGTGAAGCGTGGTCACAAAAAATACCGACCAAATGTGTGTGTGTGATTTTCACTTTGCTCGTGTTTCCATCCACTTTTCTGTTCTTACGTGTCAGGCTCAGAAGCAGATAGTGATGGTACTACCATGAAGGAAGCGGTGAAATGGTTGGAAAAAGCTGCCGACCAAGGAGATGCGCTGGCACAGAATCAGCTGGGAGTTTGCTTTTCAAAAGGAGAGGGGGTAGCTGCGAAGGATGAGAAGGAAGCAGCCGAGTTCTACAGGAAATCCGCCGAACAGGGTTTCACCGACGCTCAGTGCAACCTGGGTTTCCTTCATTTCCACGGAATAGGCGTTCCTAAGGACGAAAAGGAGGGGGTCAGGTGGTACGAGCTGGCAGCCGGTGCTGGTCATGCAAAGGCCCAGACGCATCTCGGCTATTGCTATGAGAGAGGCACAGGAGTGCCCAAGGACAACAAGGAGGCTGCATCCTGGTACACCAAAGCCGCGAACCAAGGTTATGCCCAGGCTCAACATAATTTGGGTTGGTGCTACGAGAAGGGCATCGGCGTGGACCAGGATTACCCCACCGCTGCTGGCTGGTACGCAAAAGCGGCTGCCCAAGGGTTTGCAGACGCCCAGAGCAACCTGGGCATGTGCTACAGAGATGGGCAAGGGATTGAGAAAGATCTGGAGAAAGCGGAGGATTGGTTCCGCAAGGCCGCTGCTCAAGGGTTGAAGGGGGGTCAACGGAACCTAGGCTTCCTTCTGTACGACAAGTGCAAAGGTACGCATACACACACACACTCTGCGATCACTTAATACTTAAAATCCTGACAAAAATGCGTTAGGGACCCGATTCCCAGCACGTGCTGCTCCCCACGAATATAGATTGGAGCACGTCTTTCAAAAAAAAAAAAAAAAAAAAAAAAATTCGACGCCAGATTGCGTTCCCGAAGTACTAGTACCGTCGCATGTCCCAAGGGCAGGCTCATAATAACAGTCCCATGATCACCCGTTTGGGGAAATAAAGCAGTACCAGGACGTGCTGCTAGCCCAAATACAGTCTCACGAAAAAGAAAAAAAAGAAAAAAAGAAAAAAAAGGGAGACTGAAGTTATTGTCTTTTCACCCAAATAGAACGTTGTACGGTCTTTCAAGCTGTATTAGTGGAGATGCATTTTTCGCTAAACATGACATTTCTCTTTTCTTTTAAATGCACAAAACCAACCGCCTCAACTCTCCCAGTTTCTTTTTGTGTACTTTTTGATCCCATGTTGCTGCACACCTAGAAGGATTTTTTATTATTATTATTATTTTTTTTATTTTTTTTTTAACGAGGGGCGGTCAGAGTGTCGTATGATCCAGGCACTCTGGCCCTGGTTCATACGACAGCCGCTTTTGAATTATAAAAGCCGGAAAACGGGTCCCCCGTCCCTCACATCATAGAATTCCATTTAAGGGCCGACTGTGCTGTGCATGCACCCCGCCACTCTCGGGACGTACCGAGGCGCCGTTTCGCTGGATATCCATCCACTGGCAGGCAAAACGGGTAAGATTGCGAGGCCTGTTTTGCCTGGATCACGGATATCCAGCGAGCTGAATTTTGTCCTGGGAAGGAGTTCAATTTAAACCACCACCACCCCATTAAATTTTCCCAGCCATTTCCTTAGAGTCGCAGTGTGCCTGCAGCCGCGACTCTCGGGAAGTAGGACATCACATCGATCCACTGGCAGGCAAAATGGGTCAACATGAAATCTCCCCTTCACAGAGAGAGGAAAACTATGCTTGCAGGAGTCCCCTCTAGATAGTCTTAGGAGTAGGTAGTGGAAGGTAAAAACAAACAGAAGTTGAGAGAAGAATATAGACAGTTGTGATCACCCCAATAAAAAATAAATAAAAAAAATGGGTCGCATTGCGAGGCCCGTTTTGCCTGGCGCGAGGTACCACTAGCAAAGAGGTTTGGATAAATATCCTGAATCTGGACGTGTTTTAAGCAGAGATTCAGAAAAGCAGTTCAATCGCGATATTCTGTGCCTTTCCACAAACAAGTCCAGATTCGGGCATTCAATCCGATGCTCATTGCTAGTGGGACCTCGCCCCTGGATCACGGATATCCCGCGAAACGGCACCCCGCCGGTACTTCCCGAAAGTTGCGGGGCTGTATACAAGGCGCATATTATTATTTTTTTGGTTTGTTATTGGTCCGATGGACCACAGATCAGATATTAAACTGATCAGAATAGATACAGTGCACTTGATCTATTTTTAGCCAAAAGGCCGAGAAAGGTATAGGCGCATAATATTTGATTTCTTACTGGGAAACTATACTGGTGGTTTAAACGAACGGCATTCCTTTGTCATTAGGGTACAAAGCGTGCGGAAAGTAACCGGCGATACATGACCCCTACTATGTTCAGCATACGTTGTGCCCTAATATTCCCTGGTTTTCTTTTCTCCTTTTTTCTCTTTTTTTCGCATTTGCGCTCTGATATTCTTGTGACAATATATACTACGACGTTGCTAGCTCTCTGCTTTTGCTGATGATGCGGCGAGCGTCGGGCCTGTACTAGCAGGCTCTGTCTTTTCTTATGGAAGAGAATATGTTTTAATCTGTTGTATTTTTTCTTCTTCTTCCTCCTTCTTTAATCTTCCCTATTGTTGGGATGTTGCGTTTTGCGGACCTACTGAATGGTTCCGTCTTTTTACTATGGATATGGTAGAAGGTTTGTTTTGTGAATGAGAATCTTGTTTGCTTCGATTCCGGTTGGCCTTGTCCCGTTATTTGGTCTATCTTTGGGAGGGATGGCGGTGCTTCATGTGGGATTGGTCATCTGGTTATCGCTCTGCAGGCAAGTGTGTTTTGACATCCTGGTTGGTCTTGTCCCGTCGTTTGGCCTGTAGTTGGCGGGGGCGGTGCTTGCATGTGGGACTTGTCATTTAGGATTTGTTTTAATTTTGTTTGCTTCGATTTTGTTATTGGGCATCCTGGTTGGTTGTTCCCGTTGTTCGGCCTTTCGAGCGCGGGGCGGTGCTTGTATGTGGGAATCGTCATCTGGGATTGTCTTCTTTTTTAAGTTGTCACACTGTGATTAAGGGCGCAGGAGCCTTTCTTTATTTTCTTTGTAGATAAGAATGTTTTGATATCCTGGTTGGTCTCGTCCCGTCGTTTGGCCTGTGAGTTGCGGGGTCAATTTTTTATCTTCTTCTTTATAACTCCCCCTGTTCAGAACCTCTTGCGTACAAGGCCGCCCACGTGGATGTAGGTTGAGCGGCGGCTGCCCCCACCCCCGTGTGTCATATCGACCCACTTGCACACAGCCAGAAGGCAAAGAGGCAAAGAAAAGAGGAAGGGAACAGCCAAATAATACAGAACAGGGGGCAACAAAACAAATCCCAGATGACACGTCCTCCTTTTTTCTCTTTTTTTCGCATTTGCGCTCTGATATTCTTGTGACAATATATATCGTCAAATAGAACTGGCCGGTAAACCGTAGGCAGAGAGGGAGAAGATATATATAAATATCGTCACAAACATATATCGTCACAAACAGAACTGCCCGGTAAACCGTAGGCAGAGAGAGAGAAGAGGACAACAAACGAGGGGCTGTGACAAACTGTTTCGTCGGAGTTTCACCGACATATACCCGACTGCAAGCATACGTAAGGGCTCTAAGGCATGACTTGGCACTACTTTCTAAACATTTTATGAGATGACCTAATGACAAAGGAATTCCATTTGGCGGAAGACAGTAAGGGCGCCGCCGCACGGCACACGAAACGAAAAACGAAACGAGTGCATCTTCCGGCAGAAAATGGCCAGGTTCGTCAGTTTGCTATAAAGAGTAACGAGTGTATTTTCCCACCTTTCGTGGGCAGATGCACTCGTTTCGTTTTCGTTTCGTGTACAGTCACGGTGTCAGTGCGCTTGGCAAGACCTGAATTAAAAACAAAAAAAACAAAAAAAAAACCCTGAATTTTGTCTTGATCTGTTGTGCTTTATGCTCGCAAGACTCCTCATTGCTATTTTTAGCATTTGGCAGTGGTCGCGTCTGTTCCTGACAACAAATATGGCCAAGTTCAGTTGGAAAAAAAGTCCACGTGAGAGTATCGCCGTTCTAGTGCTTGTAATGCGTGCTACATATCAGAATGTCATGTGTGCTTTGCAATGCAGTCTGCACGAGTCTCTGTGCGGCTGTGCCTCATGCTTGCAAGTATTTGCTATTTGCTATTTGCTATTTGCTATTTTTAGCGTTTGGCAGTGCTTGCACCTGTTCAATTATTAGATTTGTTTATATTTAGCTGGATGATCTTCAGATTCCTCTGGACACTTTGGACCTCTAGTACGTGGCATTTACTGTTCTTTGCTGGAATATGGACAGCAATGTGATCCTGATACATTCAGGCTTTTGTAATGTATCAGGATCATCAAGACATCCTCCAGATGCATTTAGCACGTTGTGTGGTGGAGCGAGGCCCTTTTGAAACACTCGTGAACTTCAAACTCATCCGAAATGATTCAAATTAATTTTATTATTATTATTATTATTATTATTATTATTATTATTATTATTATTAGTTTATTATTTTATTTGATTTTTTTGAAAAGCCTTAGCTGTCTACTAGAGGGGGTGCAATATACCATCCTCTCCTTCACAGGCAATCGGTTGCTTTTTTTGTGTCTTTCCAACTGCCTTTGGGGACAGGCGAGCATGCAGTCATTGACGAGGGGCTTTCCTGCATGAATCTGATTGCAATCATAGCCAGATTCCGTCAACGAACTTGTAGTGTCGGGGTCTCGCTGCACATACCTAGAAAAAAAACGGAAAGCGTGTTCGGCAATGTTGCACTGCGGCCTGATGATAAATCGTACAAGTGAAATGTGAAAACAGGTCAGGCCTGATGATGTGGAAACCTTTTTCCTCCTTGAATCCAATACGCATGCGTCTTCAAGGTACCTTGAGTTTCTCGGACCGAGTTCGGTAAAAGGTCCCAGCACAATGTTTTCTAGGAAAATCACTGTGTAAAAAAAAAAAAAAAAAAAAAAAAAAAAAAAAAAAAACAGGTTAGGAAAATGGCTGTGTCCAAAGGAGGCAAAGAAACAAAGGGAGGGGAGGTAAATAAGCGGGAGGGAGGAAAGGAAGGGGGAGCGGGGGTTGCGGTGGCCGCGGGCCGCAACAGGCAGGCGTTCGGAAAGACGTATTTCGGAGTGGCAAATGAAGGGGGAAAAGAAGGGAGGGATGTATGTATGGCTCGGAGTTCCCAATTGACAGCTAAGCCTTAAGCTGAACAGGAGTACACACCTGAACTGTTGATATACAGGCAAGTGCTCAATCCTCTCGGAATCCGGTGAACGCAATTATTATATCTTTGAAGTACCTGGGACCTGTCAGTTCGATGATGACACCTCAAGTCCGTCACACACTTTTTTTGTTCTTTTTATATTAAAAAAAAAATGACCGCTTTTTTCTACACCGGGTTGCATGCATGCATCCATTTGGTCCATAGCACTGCACGGAACTAACGCCGTTCTCTCTCTCTCTCTCTCTCTCTCTCTCTCTCTCTCTCTCTCTCTCTCTCTCTCTCTCTCTCTCTCTCTCTCTCTCTCTCTCTCTCTCTNCTCTCTCTCTCTCTCTCTCTCTCTCTCTCTCTCTCTCTCTCTCTCTCTCTCTCTCTCTCTCTCTCTCTCTCTCTCTCTCTCTCTCTCTCTCGATTATTGGTTCCCGTGCTTGATTGTTCCAGCCGCAGAAGATGAAAGTGTAATGCGGGAGGCAGTGCAGCACCTGACCCTGGCAGCTGAGCAGGGAGACGCGCTGGCGCAGAACCGTCTCGGGACTTGTTATTCCAAAGGAGAGGGTGTGGAGAAGGATGAGACCAAAGCGGCTGCATGGTACCAGAAGTCCGCGTTGCAAGGCAACCCCGACGCTCAGTGCAACCTTGGCTATCTTTGCTTCCACGGAGTAGGAGTCCCACAGGACCAAGAAGAGGCTGCGGCTTGGTACCAGAAGGCCAGCGATCAGGGTGACCCTAGGGCTCAGGCCTTTTTGGGATTTTGCTATGAGAGGGGCGAAGGGGTTCTGAAAGACGACCAGCAAGCAATCACGTGGTATCGAAAGTCGGCGGAGCAAGGGTACGTCCAGGCCCAGCACAACATGGGTCGGTGTTACGAGCGCGGAATCGGCGTTCCACAGAGCTATGAGGAGGCGGCCGCTTGGTACCAGAAGGCAACCGAAAAGGACTTCCCCGACGCATACAACAACCTCGGGATATGTTATCGAGATGGACTGGGAGTGGAAAAGAACAGGAACAAGGCTGAAGAATGCTTCCGCAAAGGCGCAGAGAAAGGGCATCGTGGAGCAAGACGCAACCTTGGGTTCCTTCTCTACGACAAAGCAAAAGGTTGAAAACTCTCTCCTCTTTTCTCTCCTCCTCCTCCCTCTTCCTCCTCCTCCTCCTCCTCCTCCTCCTCCTCATCCTTGACTCGTTTCTTCTCTCCCCCTTTTCCCTTCACTTGTCTTTAAATTTGCCCCCTCTCTCCTCTGTCAGGCGATCGGAAGAGTTGTCCGGGCCCGGACGTCCGCCTCCCCGACTGTTTCGCTTTTAACAGTTGTTCGATGACCGGACATTCTGGCCGGACAGTCGGGGGCGCGGGCGTCCGGGCCCGGACAATTCCATTTTTTTTACCAGCTAAAAGCATTAAAATTTTTAAAAATGGAAAAAAAATTGGGGGTGTTTTTAATTTTATTTGTTATTTTTTATTTTACAGCGAATTTCGATATCATCCCAAGGCAAAAGTTGTTCAGTTTAGTTTTCTGCATAACATAGTTTTTTTTTTCAGTTTTTTTTTTTTTTTTTTTTTTTCTGCGTTCGGGCTCAGACAGACTGCCCGGGGAGGATGTCCGACCGGTTGTCCGAGCGGACAATGACCGTCCCCCACAACCGGACAATCCCCGGACGGTCAGGATGGTCCCGGACGTCCGCCGGACGTCCGATCATGTAACCAATGTTCTGCCATTTTCATCTTGTCTTATCTGTGTCCTTTCTTTTTCCCTTTTCTCAGTTTTCTGGTCTGATTCTCTCCGTGCGTCCTTCGCTCCATTGAATTTCCTCTTTTGTCTCCTCCTCCCCCTCCTCCTCCTCCAGGCTTTGCTTCATGTCTTTTTTTTTTCCTTGTTCTTCCAAAACACGCTGCTTCTTGTCTGGGGCGCAGCAGTCCGATGATAAGCAAGTAGAATCCAAATTCCAATGGCAAGAAGAGAAAAGATAGGCCTGATGCCCTCGTTGCCCGAGACGCTGTCCGGGGGAGGGGGGGGAAAGGGCGGGCACTTCATGGGAGGAGCCATTCGCTGTCAGCCTGTCCTGGGCCACTCTTTCCTTCTCTTTCCTTCTTCAGTCTCCTGTTCTTTTTTTCCCTCGTCTCTCCTCTCTTCTCTTCTCGTGTCCTCTCCGATTCCGTCCTCCTCTTTTTTTTTCTCTCTACTATATACTCTTCTTCACTCTCCTCTTCTTTCCTCTCTTCTTCTCTGAGACTCTTCTCTGAACGTGTCCGCTTTGCCGAATTTGCACCTGTCGAACTGCTTTCCGTTTGAAATTTGCTACCACTCTTTTTTTTTTCTTTCTTTTTTTTTTTTTAATTCAGTAAAACATCAAATTTTACGATGATGGGTGCTACTCAAGGTCATATCAGTTTGTCCCTTGACACCCTTTTTTTTTTTTTTTTCCTTTTTTCTTTTTTCCCCGCCAGTACCTGTGACATTGTCTGTGTCTGGGCATGTGCCAGTGTTTGTGTCTTAAAATACCCCATGCCATGCCATTGCCACGCTGCTCGACACGACAAGATGCATGGTATACCAGATCAGGCAATAACCAATCCAACCTTGCATGTTCCTATGCGCCAAGAGTATCTGCAAATTCACTCTAGTCGCTCCTCATACCTTTTTTTTTTTCTTTTTCTTTTTTTAAGCGAGCTTCCTGGTTGCTCCGATCTATTAGTGGGGAGCAGCACTTGCTGGAAAACGGGTTCAACAGGCCTGCCAGCGTTGATTACCTTTGCAGGGGATTGACTGAGCAGGCAATGGTGAAAAACGGGCCCAGCGTCCCATCATACATCAGAAGGGTTTGTGCTGGGCTGCACAGAAAACTTACTATGCAGATGCCTTGAGGGACACACAGACAGAGAGCACACATGTGCTGGACTACATACAAACTACACACACACACACACACACACACACACACACAGCACGCATGTACTTATGATGCATCTGATGATATGGGGATGAAAAACAGAAACAGACAGCACCTTAGGATGCACACAAGGGCAGCAACAGACTGTTTTTTGCTCAGACTTGCACCGCTACGACTCATCGGCAGGCTGCTGACTCCTCGACAGCCTGCAGGATCGTCTCTTTTAATGATAACCAGGTTAAGCCATATTAAGGGAAGGCCTGGGAAGCTCCTAATGCTGTCCTTGTTGGGTATTTTGCGTAAAAAAAAAAAAAAAAAAAAAAAAAAAAAAAAAA